AAAGAAAAACCAAAACAGTCCTGGCTTGACTCAAACTGTGTGTTCCTGTCCCACATGACCCCTCCTTCAAGCCAACAAGAACATCTGGTGACCACACTGGACACACACCTAAGAAACAACTCTGTGTTAAGAGATCCTTTTTGTTAACATTGGTCAAACCCCAGGCAACTGACTGTGGAGTTCTAGGAATGACTTTGCTGACACAGGAGGAAAACCAAAGGATCAGAAGCAGGGGAAGTTACCACTTGGCACTGCCACGCCAGATTAGAGGACTGCAAAGGTACACAGGACAGGTCAGAGCTGCACCACGACACAGCCCTCAGGCTGCAAATCCAGCACTTCCATCAGCTGGAGCTGTGGCACTGCTTATCCAGTTCAAAGCACAGCTCCTCCAGACTCAAGTGTGCAGATGAATACTCCTATACCCATGGTAAAATACAAATCACCACGCTGCCAAAGCTTCACCAGCAACACAAAAACTATACCAAACCCATTAAATACTACAGACTCCTTGTCATCCAGTCTCTGGCCTCCTTTTAAAAAGTGACACATTAACATATTCTTTTGTATAAGTTTTTTTGATTTGGGATGATTTAAAGGAACCCTCAAATTTTTAAACCCAAGAAACACTGATTAATTCAAGTACCTGTGTGCTCCTATTGAAGTGTATAAAACATTACTATACAGAACTGAGCAGTGCCAACAAATCTGTAGTTCCAATGGCAAAACTGCTTTTGGCCTATGCCCCTCCTGCCACACTGTTCAACTCAGGGGCACTCACTTTTGGGTAAAGTCAAAGCTGAGTGACTAAGAGTTACCAAAATTCCAAGCTTCATGACCAACTGCCTTGATTTAAAGCTTGGTATTAAAGACATGATCAGAACTTGAGGGGTGTATTTTCATCCCTGTCTGCTATATCCATTTGGAACTGCACACACTGCCCCTCAACAGTTACAGTCAGACAGGGCAGCCTAAGTCAACAGCACGGCACAGACAGGGATTTACCATCACCTCCTCTTTCCCACCTCAGTGGTTCCAGATCCAGTGTTTCCAACTCACAGGCCAAAACACAAAAGTGAGCCAGCCTAAAACCAAACATCCTACTTTTGCTCACAGAAAGGGTCCCCCGGTACAGCTGCCTGCATCACTGTATCAACTCTGGTACCAAGACAAGACAGGCAGAATACTAGGATTTTAATTATTCAAAACTACTAAAAATTCTAAGTTAAAACTCACAACTACACTGATAACATTTTCAAAGCTTCAAAAGTCAACAGAATGTTTTTTGAGCCATAGCATTTCATTATACTGAAGAATAATAGAACAGCACTAATGAGCTCATGACTGGCATGTTTTTGTTCTTCATATCAAAATCAACTAACTGAAAGTAAATAGAAAATTGGGAGTGTTCTGATTTAACAACACTGTATGGGGAAAAAAAATCCTATTTGAAGGAAAAACAAAACTGAAGACAAATTTCTACCTCTTCTTCTGGTAGAAAACAATGCACCAGAGTCACCTGATGCAGTATGTAAGTGCCCAGAGAGGAAGAGATGTTTCCATTTGTGTCTGAAGAATGTGAAACACTGCTTATACTTTTTATATGTGTAAGAAGACTTACACGTAATTGTTTGAAACAACACTTGTGTACAACATAAGCTTTATCAGGGTTAGTCAACAGTGAAGTTCAATACTGTAGAACAAGTCTTTCCTTCTACAACTGAGAGAAACTGTGATAAAAGCCACAATTAGTGAATCTACTTAGAACAGAACACCCAGCTCCTGGTAAGACTTCAATGCAACTTAGTACAATTCGTTATTGTTAGACTTGGTACATTTTTCAATCCTTAAAGTATATTTACATGGATTTTCAGCATTAAATATTATCCAATATGATGGAAGTTGGCACTTATTCTGCCTGTTCAGCAAGGTATCTTTATGAATAGAATTTAGGTAATTTTTTTTTTCCTGCTTAAGTGAAAAAAAACCAAACAAACAGGTACATAGCTTCCCAGATAAACTGGGATCTGTTTATCGAGGCCATTCTTGCTATAAAGAATCATACTCCCCTTTTATAATTTGGTGCAGAGGTAGAACAGGAACAACATCAGTTGGCTTAGTTCCAAAGCATGAAACACTTTGGTCTCTGGTACCCCTCCATACCTGGAGAGTGCCTTACAAACTGTGACCATGACCACAAGCAACTCAGCAGGATCTGTACCAAAGAAGTGTCACATCACTGCCAGCAGAAGGAGTGTCACAACACAAGAGCTCACTTGCTTTCCTGGCACATCCTATTTCAAGTTGTACAGCAGAATGACTGGTACACCCAGCCCGAATGTGGAGAGCTGGTTAAACCAGAACTGACGTCCTATGAAATGCTGAGCAGCTTTTTTAAATACTGGTGAGCAAGAACAAATTGCTGGGAAGTTTAGCACCATTTGGAAAACAGGGATGCTCCAAACTGAAGTAAAATTAATGACAAAATACAAATGAAGACCTGTTAGCCATCAAAAACTCTACTTCTCTGCTCTTACTTCCAGAGATTCTCTATAAGAAGCAAACCCAAGGTTATCTTAAGGTTTCAATCTTCTGAAAGACCTTTACTGTATGCCCTCCACACCACCAAGTTCTAACAATGTTCAGTTCCACTGAGGCCTCCTCATTAACTACACCAACCAAACCAGCATCTCTGTATTTTTGCTTCGTATAAAGCTTCCAGTAACAAAATGATACAATACCAGGAATGAAAATACAGCAAATAAAGAACAAATTCTGTAAAAATCACAAGCACACTGCAGACAGCTTTTAGCTTGTTTTTACAATTTCCTGCACAGAGATAGGGGTCGTTTTCTAAACTATAACCTCTACCTGAGCAAGTCTAAAATGATTTTCATTTCCAGCATTAATGAACCAACTACTGAAATTCCCTATATATCATCAACCTCAAGCCTTAGCAGATGGACAAAGTGAAATATTTTGCATGGAATCATCTCAGTATAAAGTTAAACCGTGTTTCTTCCATACTGCAACTCAATCCAATGTTTTCTCCACAATTTTTTTTCAGGTGACTCAGAAGACTTGGACATTTGTTAGAGATGGGAACAAAACAGGAGATTTCTTGTTCCCTCCTCAGATCAGGGCCTCTCTGCTGCAGCAAATGAATGCATTCCTCGTACCTCTATCTCAAGCACAATTTAGGATTACTGAGCTTTTACTTCTTGTGCTGATAACAGGAAATACAAAACTGATGAGAAATTTTCAATTCCAATAGTCCAAACAGTCTAATGTTTATAGCTGCAAGGATTCAGTGGAGGATGAACACTTCAGGCAACAGGGAAAGACTGTAATTGTAGTGACTGACTTTTAAATTAAAAGGTTTTAGCAAGTCTGGGAGTATTAAACATTCACTAGCTACTCACATCTAACATTCTCTGCAGTTCAAAGGGGCTTTTTCCCCATCTTTCAATATTTTCATTTGTTTTCAGTATTTTCAGTTTTCAGATCTTCCCATCTGAACTACCTACAGCACAACTGAACAAGTTGTTAAGAACCAGAATTTTCAGAAATGTGTGATGATTATATATTCTTATAGTAAGATGATGGGAGAATATTGCAGCAAACTGCTGAGTTATTGAGTCAGTTTACTTGATAAAGAATTCCGGAGGAGGGAACCCCAAAGTATTTTGGCACAACACTTTGCATACAATAAACTCTCTGACATGTAGTGTCACCTCTCTTAAAGGAAGGATAAAACAGTTTGAGTTAAGAAAAGCACAGAAGAATAAACATCTGCTGCAAGGAGAAGGATAAGGGACTGTTGTCTACAAAGAAAATCAGATTCTCAAATAGTACCCACAAATTGGAAGTAAAGATGTGATGAGATACAAGACTTGTAGAGCACAAAATTACTTACCTATGACAATTCTATCAGACAAGCAGATGTGCCTAAGCAAATGCCAATATCTCAAAATACTGCATTTGAGACCACACGGCTCATAACAAAGAAGTTAACAATTAGCAAGAGAGAAATAACACCCATCTCTAAGAAGGCAGGAAGTTTAATGAGTTCTCTCCAAGGGAAAAGCGCTGAAGTATTTTTTCAAGTTTAACAGGTCCCCTAGGTTTGCTACCCATGCCGTGACCACAGGCTGGTGAGTCTCAATCAGTGGAATGTGACACCACATGGTCATTAAACCCTCCCACCCTGCCTGCAAGAGCAAGTGCCTGCTGCACTCGGCTGTCTTATTATATTGCCAGGAACATATTTTAACAGTAGCATTATTGTACAGCATTATATAGTGGAAAATGTGAGCAACAGAACCCGTAAGAAAAGCCAAGATATAATATGAACGTATTGCCTTCCCACCCTTCTACCAATGTTTATCGCCCCCAGCACTAAGACCGCCCTTTATTGGGAAATGCAGTTATCTCACCTGGCATCTGAGAAGCTCAAATACTAACTAGTCTGTAGCTATTTCTTTTCTCTCCTTAATACAGAGAGAATCCCTCTTGTGAAGGACTGCATAAACAGAAAATGTGATGTATCTAACAGGGCCCGTAATGGCCAGGGCTTCCCCAGCCCTATCGTCAAGCAGCCACAACCCGGTCTCCACTCAGACCCAAAGCAGAGAAAAGAGTAACATTTAAAAAAAAAAATAAAAAGTAGAAAAGGGCAGGACTGATAGTCGGGCGAGGCCGCCACCAGACACCCGTGCGGCAGGCGGGACGGGGGCCCTACCGTCCGCTCCCTGCCCCGGCCCTCGAGCAACCGCACCCCGGGGCCCGGCGGCGGCGCTGGGCCTGCGCTCGGCTCACGCCACTCCCCGGGGCGTCTCGGCCCGGGCATCCGCTGTTCCGGCCGGCGGCCCCCGCCCTGCCCCGGCCGCGCCGGTCCTGGGCCGCGGCCTAAAGATGGCGGAGGCGGCCGCGCTTCCCGGGGCTGCTCACCCGCCCCGCCCAGCACCGAGCCACACTCACGCCCAGCCAGCCTCTCTTACCGGGACTCCGCGCCCCGCCGCCGCCTCGCCGCCCGCCTCGTCCTCCCGGCCCCGGCAGCGCCGCCGCCTCACGAGCCGCGGCCGCAACCGCCCGCCATCTTCCCTCCGCCTCCCCCGCCGCCAGCGCCCGCGCGGCGCACGCGCCCCGCGTCGCTGCGCACGCGCGCTATGTCAGGGCGCGCGGGGCAGGGGCGGGGCGGCGGCAGCGCCCCCCGGCGGGGGCACGAGAGGCGCGGCGGCCCCGCGCATGCGCAGAGAGGCGGGGCGCGGTCGTGAGAGCCCCCCACGGGCGCCTCAATTACGGGGCGGGGCCGCGCGCATGCGCGGAGGGGCCGCGGGGGCGGAGGTCGGTCGGTGCTGTCAGATCTCCCTCCGGCTCCCAGCTCTGCGCTGCCCCTGCTCGCCAAACACCGGACACAGCACAGATACCTTTGGAATGGGCTGCCCAGGGAGGTGGCCGAGTCGCCACCTCTGGAGGTGCTCAAGGAAAGACTGGATGTGGCACTCAGTGCCTTGGTCTAGTTGTGGTGGTGTTCAGTCATAGGTTGGACTCCATGGTCTCAGGGGTCTTTCCCAACCTAACTTATTCAGTCATTCCCTTCTCCTCTGTCCCCATTATTGGGTTTCAAACCACAACATCATCACAAATAGTGTCTTAACACACCTATATTCCTCTCTGTCCCAGATGTTCTTTCCTGAAAAATTTTCCTTCTTCCAGGTGTGGTGGTAAAATTGTAAGATTTGAGAGGGCTGGCTAAGAAGCTCACCCTAACTAAAAGAACATTCATTTCAACGAAAAGCCAACAATCTGTGAATCTACCAGCTGCTGAGCTGTGACAACAGGGGCTGTGCTGCTCCCACAGGCTGCACCACAAGCCATCCCTCCATGGTTTGGTTCCTTCTCAGAATTAAGGCAGTTGGCAAACTACTTCAGGAGTCCATCCCTCCAGGGGTGGATACTTGGCTTTGTTAACATCAGAATTATGGGTTAGCTCTTTATTTTCTGTAACAGGTGGGTGTCTGCAATCACCTGGCAGACAGGGACATGCCACCCAAATGTTCTCTCGCTGTGATCATAGTTAGTATCACCTCTGTCTGATCTGCCCTAAATTGTAATTGTGTTATAAAATGCTTGGAGACCCCAGATCTCCAGGATCTATTTGTCAAAAAGATCCTCACTAAAAAAATCATAATATGTACCTAATGTTTATAAACCATACAACTTTAATGAAAAATATATTTTAATTTACACCGAACAATAGAAAATTATTGAAGCTGTAAAAATTCACTGTCCTAATCAAACAATAAAATGATGCCAAACGAACAAAAAAACCAGCACAGAAATTGATGCTGCCCATGACTGATTCTTCTGAGCTCCAAGAATAAGTTTCTCTGTCTCTTTTAGAAATTAAAAAAAAATCCGAAATTACATCTATATTTCTGCTAAAAACCAGAAACATGGTGAAAATTTACAAACTGAGGAGAGGGTTTGGGGAAGAAACAAATATTTGAGCCACTGGGAAAAGACTTTTCGGGTTCTTTGGCTCTCACAATACAGGAGCCCTTGCCAATATACACATGGAACAAACCAAAAAGACGATGCTGATCTCCAGTGTGAATGCACCTGTGATGACACAGCACTGAAGCACCCTATGTCCACAACTTCCCTCACTCAGCCAGGAGCTCAGCTGGTCCAGAGGGCTGAGAAACAGTCAAATTCCCCAGGTTTTTGCGTTCAGAGAAAGGGGTTGAGGGTTAACCTTAATATTGGAAGCTGCGTTTAGTCTGAATGTCATCGAGAATCTGCTGCAGTTCTTCATCTTCAAACCGGCCCTCCAGGCTGCAAGATAAGAACAACGAGGAGACATCAAAGCTTTCAGAAATAACCTCCCCCCCGGATTCATTTCAGTCGTAGTTCCCTCCCATCAGTCTCAACGTGCCATCGCCCACCTGTATGTAACCACCAGGAACCACCTGTAAGGTTACTGTACAAAGAACAGTCTAATCCCTATGCAGTGTCTCCTCTTCTCATGACAAAACTCTGTCCTTCCCAGAATTTTCTGCTCAATAATTTCTAAATGTGTTATCAAAAAGGCAAAGTAGGTGCAGGTTTATGCAGACCTCTAAACTAAGACCATGCAGCTGCCTGCTCGTAAGCCAGTCTGTTCATGCTACGAAATCTTAACATAGAATCAGAGAATGATTTGGGATGGAAGGGACCTTAAAGTTCCCCTCATTCCACCTCCCTGCCACAGGCAGGGACACCTTCCACTATCCCAGGTTGCTCCAAGCCCTGTCCA